GTGCAGCAGTCCAGACAATATATTCCAGTGTTTCACATCCTTTCTTGTAAAAAGGTTTTCCTGATGTTCAATTTGACTATTCCTTGATGCAATATAGACCTGTTGCTCTCTTCTTTCTTGTACCAAGGACCTGCATTCTCACTGCAGGTTTTTTTATTGCTTGAAGACTCTCTTTAGCTTTTTCTCTTAAGGCTCAGCAAGTCCAATTCATTTTTCTTTCCCTCAGTAGTTCATCTTTTTTGCACATCTCAGTCTTTCACTATTTTGCGGTAGTCTGTGTAAGGGTTGTGCATTTCTTGAAGTAGCATGTTCAGAATTGGGTACAGTATTCTGGCTAATGCCTTTCCTATACTCTGTTTCTACAGTTTTGTGCTTTTACTTGGAATTGTGCTAATTAGATGTGCACTAGTTCTCCCTAATGCCCATTTTTTGCACCAGGTTTTTTATTTTTAATGTTTCTGTTTTATACAGAAGGGTGACTGAGAGGAATTATCATTTCATCTTTTAAATATCTTGCTTTCATATAGCTTGAAAAGCATTATAACTTTGTACATTTTGAAGAATGCATAAATTTTTGTAGACTTCCACCCTCCGAATTGCAATTTGTATTTACTAGGAGGAATGTTATTCAGCAAGAGGCTAACATCTGAAATAAATATGTTTGCTTTTATTCTTTTGGGGGAGAAGATTACCTATAGGGAACTGAAGCTTTCTTACTGTGAGGCAACGTGGGCCGCCTTCTGTCAGTGTGAGCATCTCCTCTGGAAGATTCCTGACTTGCAGAAGAATGCATTAATTCTGTATGATCAACTCAAGAAACAGTGTAGAGAAATGGGACACACTTACGAAGATCAAGATGAATTAGCTCATTTTGTATCTAAAGATATGTCCATAGACCATGTTTGGCAATCTCTTGAATTTTTGAAAGATCAGAACATAGTGATTAGGGAGAAAAAACTAGTGTTTCTGCCTCATCTTTACAAATCTGAAAAAGACATTGCAATGTGTATAGGTGACCTTCTGTCAAACTGCTCATGGCAACTGGATGTTGATGTGAGAAAGATACTTAACGTTTCTGAGACATCAAGAGAAATGGTAGGTAACAAAATGGATGTTACCCAGGCTCATGAAATTGAATGTCTGAAGGAAAATAGTCCAGACAATCATAACTGTGAAAATCACTGTCCTGAAAAGGAAGTGGGGTCTACATCTGGTACCCAAAGTAAAGCAGAGCTAGACTTGGATCAGGTGATTGCTATGGAAAAGATTTGTTCTAATCCTGTCACAGTCATAAGTGGAAAAGGAGGCTGTGGGAAGAGTACGATAGTTAGCTGCCTTTTTCGTCACTTAAAGCAGATGGAAGAAGAAGTGGAAGCTGCTTCTAAGGACTTTGAAGAAGACCTGGATGCATCTGAGGAATGGAATACCTTTGATCATCCTTGGGACTCAGAGAATATGTACACAAAAAAATTTTTGAATGTACTATTTACTGCACCTACAGGGAGGGCGGCAAGCCTTTTGAGTGAAAAAACTAAGCTTCCTGCATATACACTGCATCAGGTAAAGAATTTATTTTTTTTTAAATTGTGTTCTGAAAGACCTTTTGACGCTGTCCATTCTTGTTTTGGGAAGAAAGCTTGTTACTGAACTTTACAAAATGTGTAGCTATTAGTGATAATGCTTGGGTACAGCTTGTTAGCATTTGAAAGTCAGCATTACATTTTGTGGAATCTTAAATCAATCATTTGAAGTACATTATTTGCTGTAACTTTGGGGTTTTTTCCTACTTATACACATCTCGAATTTGTACCTTTCTAGGGCATCTTTTTATCTTTTCAGTTGTTTTTTCTTTTTAATTAAGACAGAAATACTTTCTAGATGGCAGAGCTGTTTTCTAGTGCCCTGTTGCCTAGCAATCATACTGATACCTGCACATGCATGAAGAAATCAGTAGCCTGGGGTTGAATAATGAGATAAATTTCATTCACACAGTGTTTTCTTAATTACTGCTTGTGCAAATTTTTTTAGAAAAAAGTAGAAAGCAAACTCATTGTCAACAAACTTCTGTCAAGTCTCTGTTGTCCTAGGTAGTGGAAGGTGCCAAGAAGACTTTGGAGGTGTGGAATAGCTTGTATAAATCAAAATTACAGTAATACAAAAAGTACTATGGGCTTATTTTATCTTCGGTGACTGGATAGTTGCCTGTTCCCCTTCCCCATGCAATGTTGGGGGTTTATTAATGTCAGTAAGTTGTAGTAGGAGGTGTTCTGTTACTGAGCAACCTAATGGCTGACTTTATATCCTTTAGGTTCCTTGCAGAGGAAAAAAAAAAAAAAGATGCATTTCTGTGGTTTTATGTAAGTAAGTGTTGATAATCTCAGCTAGAAATGTATTCACCAAGGAGGAAAATAAGGCTGAACAGTTGAGTCTTCTGAGTCTTTACAGGTTTAAGTTCAGAATTTCAAATAATAGCTCTAAATACAACATTAGAAGATACCACACTCTGGCTGCCTTTATAAGACAGTTGTTTACAGTTGATTAGTGTCAGAGCTTCATTTATTTTGATTTGTTTCTAGATCATCTATAGTTTCAGATCGTGGAGGCAGAGTGAACAAGGACAGCCGTGGAAGTTTTCTGCTGTGACGGTTCTGATTGTGGATGAAGGAAGCTTGGTGTCTGTACACGTTCTTAGTTTAGTTTTAAAACTCTTGTGTGAGCATGCTCAGCTTGCCAAACTTATTATTCTAGGTAAGTGAAACAGCAAATTTAGCATTACACAATATTTAATAATACACAATATACAGTGTAAGTATCAGAGCTGCCACTGGTGTCACTGATTCTCTTAAAAACCCCAGAATGTTATGTTGTTCTGTACTTGGATATTTCTGCTTATTCATAAGGTCAGATGAGATAGACAGTTTTCCATCTCAACTGTCAGTATGACAGCATCAGTATCTCCATTCTCTGTTTAGCAGTGTTTTTGTCTGATTCTGAAAGTATTATGACTTCCATGTGGTAGCTTATTACGTCTTGCAACTGGAAAACTTTTCTAATTTCCTTAAAGAAGCTAGTGTTAGCATATTAATCACATGTTAGAAGGGAGGTTTTCTGTCATTCTTAATGCTAGGATCATCTTGGTTTAATTCAGAAAGGAAAACGAAGTATAAAATCAAAATTGTCTGCTTTCTGAGAGGTTTGCTTTTTGGCATGCCATTTATGAATATGAATATGAAGAATTTAAACTACACTACAGCCTGATTCCCCAAACAAAGTTTCTTAGATTCTTGAAAGTTTTATTTCACATGAATTGTATTGAGGAAGCATGTTACTATGTAGAGGGTTGAGTATTTATTAATTCCAGTGTTTCTTTTAAGACAGTTTTTAACAGATGATCTATTACTGCTTCTCACAAACACTAATTTGCATTCTGTTTAGGTGATACTAGACAGTTACCAAGCATAGACCCAGGAAACATGTTAGCTGATATCTTTGAGGGTCTAAAATCCAGAGGCTTTTCTGTGGAACTGCGAACTAATCACAGAGCTGAATCACAACTAATTGTAGATAATGCGTCAAGGTAGGATTTCCTTATGTATGTAAGAAACATTCTTGTAGCAGGCCTGGTCCTTTACCTGCAAAATAGTAGTGTATCCAGATTTGACTCTATAGTACTGCTTCTGTTACAGTTTCTTATTCAAAATCAGTAACACTGGTTTTAAAAACAGACAAACCAACCCCCAAAACAACAACAACAAAAACCCACAAATTTTTCCAGGAGTATATGTATTGGACAAAAAAAATGTGTGTGCTGGAATACTCTTGAGTTTTATGGGACGTATTTCACTATCAGACACTCTCTGTTGTTTTCAAATGAGTTGCGTGTGCACAAGTCACTTTATGCCTTCTGAAATGACTCATAATTGCTGCTCTAAAAAGAAAGTTTTAAAGACATTGCCGGTAACTGTGACAACAGCTAAAAGAGGCTGAATTATGTTGAGAGTTTAGATGTCAAGGGCCATTAAATCATAGTTTCTTTTTATTTTTTCCTGTATTAATACCTAGAGTCCCTAAATGTTTCCAGCATGTGCATTACTTTTGGCCTGGAAATAATCCTGTTTACTGTCAGTGCATGATTTCTTTTTTAAACCTCAAACAACAAAGTCTAGGTCCGAGTGCCCAAGACCTTTTGATGTTGATTGGAATGTGAGAATATTCTGGACATTTGCAAGATGTCCAGAACTACTAAGTGTTTTACAAATGGGGTTTTTTTTGCTAACATTTGTGTGTTACTCCAGTCTGCTGCCATGAGAAGAACTGTATGGGTAATACTAAGTATCTACTGCAGTGCTGAAGGGTTTAGAGAATAAATTACCAATTTTTTTAATGTGAAATTAAGTTATGCTCAGAAGAAAGAGCTTTTGGTGTATGTAGTGTAGATGACCAAAAATTTATAAATGGTGATCTTAAGGCTGATGCAGCTGATGATACACTGGAATCCTTCAACTGGAAATAATTTCTCTTTTCTGTTTTCCCTCCACTGCTCTGCTCAAGAATCTCTCGCCGGGAGCTTCCTCGATTTGATGAGGTGCTGAAAGTTTCTGATTGGAATAAGGAAATGACAGTGCTGAACCCGGAGAAGAAATTCATTCTTATTGCTTTGCCTGCTGGCGGGATTTGTGACAGTACGTGTGTACAGTCAGTTTGTGATCTTGACTTTCCCTTTGGAAAGCATAGACTATTTGGCTGGAACTAACATTTTGGGAAGATTTTAGTCTGTTTTTGTTTGTGGTATAAATTTAAATGCTAGAGTCATAGTTTACCTTTTGCCTTCCATAAGTGCACACAGTAAGACCCATAAGTGCAAAGGATATGCTGTAGAGCTCCATCTCACTGGTTACATTTTGAAATGGGGGCGATACGGCTTCCACCAGTGTAATCAGATGTGATCATCTTTTTATGTTGTAGCCAGAGCTGTTGATCTTAAAAGATTAAATTTTTCAGAGGTAAATCGTTTGAGTAAACAGCAACTATTTCAGGATGGTGTGTTGGACAGGAATGTGCTCCCAACTCTAGAATCAAGTTAGGAAAATGGAAGCAGAGGGAACACCAGTATTTCTTTAAAAATGTTTTGGGGTCAGGGTTAGGGCCATTATTTTAGGTTTTTTGACCTTTATTGGATAAATGGATTGAGTAGCCTCTACTTTATATGCATCAAAAAGCTTCAAGGGGAATGTGGAAAAAAAAAAATAGTGCGAATATTATTACCTTATCTTACTGTAGTAACTTACTCAGCAAACAGAATACTAAAAACGTATTTCTTCTGTGAAATCTAAATGTATAGGTCTGTGGCTTAAAAATGTTCTATCTTTATCTCTTTAATGTGCAGTGTCAAAACCTTATTTTGCATGAAATATACTCTATGCAGCTGTTTAACACAGAGAAATAAGAATGTCTCTCCTTCCATATCACTCTTGTGTCTCAGATTTTAGTAGTGGGATAGCTGCATGATACTTTTTGGGGGGACTATATATGTGGGTGTTTTGTGGTGTGGTGTTTTTTTGGGGGAGGGGGATGTTTTTGTGTTTTGGGGTGGTTTTGTTCTTGTTTTAAACAAGTTGAAATGTCATTGAAGCAAGAAATAAGCAAAGGCAATTTCCTATTGAATTATGTTTTTCTGTCTTAAATTGTTTGTTCTGCATATTTTTATGCTTTACCTTTTATGTCTTCTAAAACAGATTTGCAAACTGCCATAAAGACTTTACTTAAAAAAGGACCAGGATTGCAGGATGCCAAACAATCGCAGTTCATTGCTTTCAGAAGGTAATGGGGCATGCAGACAGACATTGAAAAAATCCTTGCTAGCAGCCACAGTCTAAAAATAGCTGAATGTGTTGAGCTGGAGAGACTAGTGGCAATATCATAAAATTACTAGAGAGAACAACAGGCCATGTGTCTTTTCTGTACCTTCTGGTTGCCCCCAGTCTCTCCGTGGAGAGTTGCTTCATTTTTCTGTAAGCTTAATGTTATTTTGCACCGTGATTTCATAGAATCATAGAATGCTTTGGGTTGGAAGGGACCTTTAGAGGTCATCTAGCCCAACCCCCCTGCAGTTAACAGGGACAGCTTTAACTCCATCGGGTTGCTCAGAGCCCCGTCCAACCTGACCTGGAATGTTGCCAGGGATGGGGCCTCCACTACCTCTCTGGGCAACCTGTTCCAGTGCTCGACCACCCTCGTTGTAAAAAATTTCTTTCTTATGTCCAGTCTAAATCTATTCTTCTTTAGTTTAAATCCATTATTCCTTGTCCTGTCACAACAGGCCTTACTAAAAAGATTCTCCCCATCCTTCCTGTAGGCCCCCTTTAAGTACTGGAAGGCTGCAATAATGTCTCCTTGCAGCCTTCTCTTCTCCAGGCTGAACAACCCCAACTCTCTCAGCCTGGCCTCATAGGAGAGGTGTTCCAGCCCTCGGATCATTTTGGTGGCCCTCTTCTGGACCAGCTCCAGCAGCTCCATGTCCTTCTTGTGCTGAGGGCCCCAGAGCTGGATGCAGCACTCCAGATGAGGTCTCACCAGAGCAGAGCAGAGGGGCAGAATTCGCCCTGCGGGCCACGCTTCTGTTGATGCAGCCCAGGATTTGGTTGGCTTTCTGGGCTGCAAGCGCACATTGCCGGCTCATGTCCAGCTTTTTATCTACCAGTACCCCCATGTCCTTCTCGGCAGGGCCGCTCTCAATCCCTTCATCCCCCAGCCTGTATTG